GGGATCTCCCCCTCCCTCCCAGGCCCTCAAACCTGGGAGGGAGGGAGGGGGAGCAGCGGCGCGCCAATCAGCTGTTTCGCGCGCCGCGGCTGCTCGGGATCTCCCCCTCCCTCCCGGGTTTGAGAGCCAGAACGCCGCCCCTAAAAATGTGCCGCCCCAACCACCAGCTTGTTTTGCTGGTGCCTAGAGCCAGCCCTGCCTGGCTCACATCTCAAACCCTCTATCTTAGATCAATACTGCACCAATGTCAGTCTCCACACCCTACAAGTGTATTGTTCACTTACATTTTTTTTTTCTACACATGGAATGCCCTCCCCATCCCTATTTGCCTAGTTACCACCCTTTCCTCATTCTAGTCCTAAGGACTCATTTATTCTACACTGCTCACAACTTGCAAGTAAATCAAATAATTTAGAAACCTCTCTAAATTATTACTACTTCAATTTCCCAGTGAGTTTTGTCACATCTAAATCTTTGAAACAGCGATCTCTCAAAGTAAGGGCCTTTCTATTTTTGGGTCTACAGTTACCATCTGATACTTTTAGAGTGTTAGTCTGTATTAGCAAAAACAACAAGGAATCCTTGTGTCACCTTAGAGACTAACAAATTTATTTGGGCATAAGCTTTCGTGGGCTAGAAACCCACTTCATCAGATGCATGGAGTGAAAAATACAGGAGCAGGTATAAATACATGAAAGGATGGGAGTTCCTTTACAAAATCCTTAATTTCATTTCCCCTGAAACCACACTATCAAGGTGAATTTCCTGGTATTCCATCTCAATTTCACCCTACTATTTTTGGTATTATAGAGTATCAAACTACTGGAGGGTAGATTCAATTAAGAGACTGTGCTGGCTTTCACATTAAGTACAGCAGTGAAAGATGCCAACAATGGCTGCACCACCAGTACAGACAGATGAGGGAAGCTCAGCTTCAAAATTGGATGGTGCTGGCCAGGAAGAGACGACAGGGCATTCCCTTGGACAGCCTCCACCAGCGAAGATCCTGTGGAACACAGTTGTAAATCAAAGGTACCTTCTTCGCTAGCAAAACTCCTTAGGGGACAGTGATGGGAATTCCATCTGCTCGTCCCATGGGAGAAGGGTGATTCCTGAGGTGCAGGTACTCTTGAACTAGCAAGGATCTATCAAGTCCTATGTCATATACAGTAGATCTTTTAAGTCTGCCTGAAAGAGAAGTAAAAATTGGCCATTGGGACTTTTACCTGTTGTTGAAACATTTTAACCTCCAAATTGCAGCATCTTGTGGTTTTTTACTGCATTGTAGCAATTTATAGGATCCAAAGTTCAATGATATAAAGGAGAAAAAACAAACAAACCACAATCTTGAACCCATGTAATCTGTGGATACAGATATCAGCATAAGAAGATAAAGCCATTCAGATTACTTCCTAGGCTCTCAGCCTTTAGTGACTTTTTTTCATTATTTTTTATTTACCAACACTTTTTTGACCTTGAGTTAATTTAATTTATGCCAGTTGTACTTCATTTGTATAGTAGCATATAATGAAACTCAGAAACATCAATCAGTTAGGGACCCTAAGGTAATCTCTGCATTGTGATTTGGGGCTGCTCCTGGCAATTATAATTGTAGCCAGATGTTGGCTGCGTGTGCTGCAAACTGCCCAATAGAACCACAAGACTTGGTTTAGTAGTGAAGGCATTTGGCCAGGTTTATTGTCAACAAAGCACGGTCCTAATGCCCTGGCTCAATGGTTATAGGTACGCTAACACATGTATGCCCGTGACAATGGATGCAGCTCAGTGAGTGGTGGGACTTTCCATTCCCCCTTAGGCTGGCCAAAGACACTCCCTGTGAGGCTCCTTTTTATGCACGGATACAAACAAGTTACGTATTGCCCCTCTGATGTGGTTAGTTAGCACCCTTTACCTTGTACATGTTGGTCCGATCAAAACATCTCTATCCATCATACCATATCTTTACGAGGGGGTTAGGGAGTGAGTTTGTACCATACTTGGAATCGGGGTATTCTGGTACCACCCATCTGGAATGTGCTTGCATGAGTGTCCTGTGTCTAGTACGTCTTAGAAATGTGGGTGTTTTTGCAATACCAGCCTTGTTCTTGCTAGGGTCTGTGAACTGCACACAGGCATGTTTTATAACAGGGCCTGGCTTCTGCTCACAGACTGTCTCTTGCTAACTTTGCTTTATATTAGGCTTGACCACTGCTTTAGTTCAGGTCTCATATCAGGACTCTGATACAAGGCCTCATGTTTCAGGCTCTTTTTCTACTATAATAATGAATGAATAACTTAATGAAAGAGGCTAATCTAACCCTGTCAACAAAGTGCATGCACACAGAGAGCCAGTTTTATCCTTTCGAGCATCAATGGATTTACACCACGTTGAATGTGGCCTACTCTATTGAAAGTAAAATAAAATGCATATATCAGACATGACCAGAAAGTTTTATACAGATAATAGGCAATCTGACACCATGAGCTTTGTATCCAGCCGACTTTTTAAAAACTTCCACTAACTCAATGTTTATAATATGGATCTGTTTGATGCTGCTCTCCTTTTTTTCCATTAAATGCTAACCTACAATGTCAATGATCTGAAGCAAGAGCCAACAGACTGTATAGCTAAAATAAAATAAATAAAAGGAGCAGCCTATCACTGTAATATGTGACACATTAGATGAATACTGAATGATAATCATAGAATAGGGGGATAAGCATGTGATTTATTTTATCACAAAAGTATCTCTCTTTAAATGTGGATTACGATTTTTTTCCTTTTAATTTAGAATCACTTTTCTACATTTCTCATAATTTAAATATCAAATTTCCAGTTCAGAGCTTGAGAGTGGCACTATATGTGAAAGAAAGCATAGAGTTAAATACAGAAAAACACATAAGTGAATCAAACTGTACCATAGAAACTCTATGGATAGAAATCCCTTACTTGAATAATAAAGAGTATAGCAGTAGGAGTATACTACCAACCACCTGACCAGACTAGCGATTGTGAAATATTCTGGGAGATTAGAGACTACAAAAATAGAAAACACAATAAAATGGGGAATTTCAGTTATCCCCATATTGACTGGGTACATGTCACCTCAGTATGGGATGCAGAGATAAAGTTTCTAGACACCATTAATAACTGCTTCTCGGATCAGCTAGTCCTGGAACCCACCAGGGGAGAGGGAATTCTTGATTTAGTACTAAGTGGAGCACAGAATCTGGTACAAGAGATTAATATAGCTGAACTGCCCAGTAACAGCACCCATAATATAATTAAATTTAACATCCTGGAGGGTGGGTGTAAATACAAAAGAAGCTCACCACAGTAGCATTTAACTTCAGAAAGGGGAACTACACAAAAAATGAGGAAGCTAGTTGAATGGAAATTAAAAGAAACAATCACTGCAAGTTGCATGGAAACTTTTTAAAAACACCGTAAGAGAGGCTCAAATTAAATGTATACCCCAAATTAAAAAAAATAGTAAGAAAAGCAAAAAAAAAGATACCACCATGGCTAAGCAAGTCAGTGAAAAGAAGTGGTTAGAGGCAAAACGTCAGCCTTTGAAAACTGGAAGTCAGATCCTATGGAGGAAACTAGAAAGGAGCATAAACTCTGGCAAGTCAAAAGTATAATTAGGCAAGCCAAAAAATAATTAGAAGAGTAACTAGCAAAAGACTCAAA